CCAGCCCCCGTCCCCCGCGGGGACACATGCTCAAGGGGAGGAAAAACCTGTGGAAAAGGATGGATGTGGCCTTCTCAGCTTTTAGCCTTGGTCCCCACATCACGAGATGCAGCCTGAGCTTGGTCACCACCATGCAAGAAGGGCTTTGCTCTGGAGATCAGCTGCCAGCCCTGTGGCTCCTTCCACGTGGCCAAGAGTTTCTTGTTTGTATTTTGAGATGATTTTTCAGGGGCTTGCTTTAGCAACGTCTCATTTTCTTCCTCTGCCCGAGGGATTGCTCAGTATGTTGGGGAGAGTTGGGGGAAGAAAAACCAGCACCACAAGCGGTCAGAAATGGGTTATTGTGGTTGTGAGTAGAGGTGTTTTGGGTGGAAGGTACATAACAGACGCTCGCTGGGGGAAGTCAGGGTGGCCAGAAGCATCTCCCAAAAGCCACTCGTGTCGGATCCAGGAGGGTGTCTGGATTCTCACCGTTTCCTTGAGACCAACAGCATTTGAGGTGCTGGGTACCCCTTTGGGCCTGGCGCTGAAGGACGAGGTGGTGGAGAGGTTCGGAGGAGACCCAGGGCTGCCTGGCCATGGGGAACAAGCCCCGCATTGTGCCACCAGAACTGCCTTGTGATCGATATCAACAGGGGACTTGACTGCCCAGATTTACCAGCTCCGCACTTCAGCACGCGCTAAATTCACCCAATAAATAAAAAAAAACGAGCAAAAAAACCTCCCGATGGGTTGAGAACAGACGCTGCATTGATGGTGGTGGCTGATCCAGCGCTGCTCCACGGTCAGCGCAGATGAAGGTGGCTCAGTTCTTACCATCCTGAGGGGGAACCCTTCCCCAAAATGTTCATCCCCACCCCCCTGCGGTGCCGTCTTCTCCCTCTGGGAAGGTGAGGTGTGGGATTTCGTGGCAGCCCCAGTGCCTGTGAAAACTTGCTTTCCGAGCCGAGCACCGGCAAACCTGCATCAGAGGGAGTCCCTCCGCCTGGTACCCACGCATGGCCTTCCTTCATGAACAACTGCTGCAGCACAGGAAGGTCGGAAGGCTTTTTCCACCCTCTTGCAGGGAGAGTTACAAATATCCCCTGGAACGACTGAAGGCTGCTTCGTGGAAAACATTGGGTTGCAGCATGTGTGGATTTGAGCAGGGAAAACGAGGCTGTTGGCTTGATTGCCTTGCCAAAGTCCAATAAAAATGCAAAATTTCCCCGAAAGTCAAGTACATTCATGGCTGTTCTCCGAGACATGTCCAAGCTTGGAAACGCTTTTCGTTTGGATGGGAAGAGCCTGCTGTGGACCTGTTTAATCGCTCTCCAGGTTGCATCCTCCTTCATTCATCATTACAGGCGTTGCCCATCTCCTTCTCTGAAAGCGCCGTAGAGCGTCTTCCATCCTCGCAGGATGCTCTAGCCCACCCACAGCAGCCCGGCACGCCCGCGCCTGGGTACCGAGCCCAGGGAAGGGCTGGAGCCAGGAGATGAGCTTGATTAGCAGAAGGAGAAAAATTAACCTTCTCAGAAGTGCCAGAGTTTTGTTTGTAGAAGGGATTTGCACTTCTGAGAGGGCTGTTGACTTTCAGGAGACGTAGGCTTTCAAGTGCCTAAATCACTGCTGGAAATGCGCTTGCAAATTTTTTTTTTAAGTACTTAGAAAATACTTCTCCTGTGTCCTCAGGCCTTCTCCGAGTGCAGTGGTAATTACAAGTTGTCCATTAGCCACAACATGCAGATCTCTGCTTGAAGAGTGCAGTGGTAATTACAAGTTGTCCATTAACCACAACATGCAGATCTCTGCTTGAAGCTGTGACGCGTTCCGCGCCCAGAAGAGAGACCGCAATGGAGGGGCATGGCTTGTATTTAAAAATGTGAGAAGGATGACGTGGGGACTGGGTGCAGTTGAGTTTTTTGACGGCAGCTTTTTGACAGGGGCTTGGGGGTTTGGGGAAGGTTTCAGGGACTGAAGGCCACGTGAAATGTAGCCTGCCCCCCTCCACCTCCCAGCTTGGGCAGTGGCCAACTTCTCCTTGGGCAGCAGGAACTTCTCCTTTCAGATCCGACAGCCTCTGCGTCATCTCCTGCCGTGGCTCGTTGTACCGTGGTGTGTCATTTAGCACGGTGCCCAAAGCCTCTCAGCGATGCGTGGTCAGCAGGTACCAACGCAGCACAAGAACCTTGGATTTCCTAAGAAACGACTGGAGTGTGGAGTAGGTGGGGCTTTGACCTGCATCCCTCAGCGGGGACGTAAAGGGGTGATTTTGTTTCATTTACAGCCTGGGGTAAGATATTTTGGTGGAGTTACCTGGATTTGAAAGAAAAAACCTCAAGCAAATGTGCATAAATTCCTTGGGAATGCTGTTGAGATGTTTGGATGAAGGCTGTGTCTCCAGGCTGTGTGTTTGGTCCTGAATTGTGCTGCAGCAGGCGCCAGCAGCAGCCCTGTCCCTCTCTGTGACCGATGCTCTGGTGGGTACCAATCCTCTCCTCATTGCTCCAGCTTCCGTCTGGCCCAGGCTCTTGGAGAGAGGGTGTGATGGTGGCAGCACCAGGGTTTGCCTGCCCAGAAGTTGTGATGGAAACGGCATCGGGATTTTCCTTCCCCTGGATAAATGAGAGCAAGAAGCCCCAAGAGCTCTGCTGCACCCTCCTCTTATCCCAGGCAACTCAAAAACCATGTTAGTTGGATGACATTTGTCTAACCTATATCAACAGGGTCTGGTGATGAGGTTTTGCAGCTTTCAGAAATCTTTTGCAGCACCCCAGGATCTTCACTGGAAATACAGTACACCCTCCTACACCCCCTGTTTTGTGTCTTCAGCCCATTTTCTATCATCTCCCCACTTTTCCTAAACTGTTCCTCAGAGGTCACCTCGGCTGGACTTGCCACCTTCCTGCTGCTCCAGGCTCACAAAGAGCTGCTGGTGTATGTGTTTGCAGATTTAACCCCACCAGAAGGGCATTTCAATCAAAATACTGACTGATGCCAGGTGCTCGTGAAGCCTCTGGGGAATCCCACCTGATCCCTATTTCCACTGAGACGAGCTTACACCCGTGACTTAGCATGGAGTGTGGTTTTTCCTCCTTTTGAGTAGTTTTTCTTCATGTGCCCGTCTCCTGTAGAGAAAATAGAAACCATACATGGTCTTCTCATCATGGAGGTTTCAGTTAACACTAAAAAAGGCCTCCCAGAGACAGGGATTTTTAAGAGTGAGGAATCTCCTAACCCAGAGCCCTGGCTCGTTATGCTTTGGGTTTTCTACTGCTTATAAATCCCACACCAGGAAAGGCAACCATGAAGAGCAGGGGGAGTGCTGATGCTCCTCTGCTCCTACCTATTTATTGGTGTGGTTTCTAAGGATTTTGGGGCCACAGATCAAGTGAGCATCTCCAGCAGAAGATGCCTTCCCCCAGGTATTTATGGGATGGACATTCAGGCCCATTGGGTGGGATGTGGCTGGGCCAGGTGTTTCTGAGGTGATCATCACACGTGGCTCTTGTGAGAGGCTTGCACAAGCTGCTGAGGTGCTCCACGGTCTTCTTCTGCTCCAAGCAGACTTTCTGCCCCGCAGCCAGCGGGATGGCCACATTATTTCCATTGGCATTCACTAATTAGGATTTAGTTTGCTCCTTTAAAAAACAGCCTGGGTAGAAGGCATGCCTCATCAGGTAAGCACATTTGTGGTCAGACGGCATCTCTGAGAGGTTGTGTCTGCTCGGCTCTGAAGGGTTTAGGAATCCTTGTGAGCTCCTTGTTGCTGTCAGAGTTTGAAACCGTTTTGAAGAAGTGACAGTAGATAAAGTAAATCAAGTTTTTTCATGGCCAAGACAACCAGCTGTGGGGTCTTTTCATTAGTGAGACAAGGACAGATAACTGACCTTGGAGCATCTCGGGACAGCCAGGAGCCATCACAGAGGAGGGTTTAGCAGCACATGAGCTCCAGCTGCTTAAAGAGGGGGCTGAAGTTTCTCTTAAAATGGAATTGTTGAAAACATTCATTTATTTTTGGCAGAATAGCTCTGTGCTGCTGTAGATGTGGGACTGGGAGGTGCATGGGGTGGAGGTGGTGATGAGGCTGATCTGGACCTGGCTGGGGGTGGTTTTGGTGCTGTCGCCCATTGGAGGAGTGGGAGAGGCACAGGAGCTGCTGTGGATGGGGAGGTCGGGGGTTGTGGAGGTTGCCCGGCTCCTGGGGACCAGGCGACCAAGAGCTGGGGGCTTCTGCTGCTCCACTGCCAAAACCACCACTAACCCATGTCCCTCAGCACCACATCTGCCCAGCTTTTAAATACCTCCAGGGGTGGTGACTCTACCACTGCCCTAGGCAGCCTCTTCCAAGGCTTGACAACCCTTTCGGTGTAAAAATTTTTCCCAATATCCATCCTAAACCTCCCCTGGCACAACTTGAGGCCGTTTCCTCTTGTCCTATTGCCTGTTCCATGGGAGAAGAGACCGACCCCCCCCTGGCTACACCCTCCTTTCAGGGAGCTGTAGAGAGCGAGGTCTCCCCTCAGCCTCCTTCTCTCCAGGCTGAACACCCTCAGCTCCCTCAGCCTCTCCTCATCAGACTTGTTCTCCAGACCCCTCACCAGCTCCATTGCTCTTCTCTGGACCCGCTCCAACCCCTCAAGGTCTTTCTTGTGGTGAGGGGCCCGGAACTGGACACAGCCCTCGAGGTGGGGCCTCACCAGTGCCCAGTCCAGGGGGACAATCACTGCCCCAGTTCTGCTGGCCACACTATTCCTAATACAGGTGAGGATGCTGGTGGCCTCCTTGGCCACCTGGGCACACCACTGGCTCATATTCACCTGGCTGTTGACCAACACCCCCAGGTCCTTTTTCACAGGGCAGCTCCAGCCACCCTTCCCCAAGCCCGGAGCATTCATGGAGTTGGTGTGACCCAAGTGGAAGACCCTTGTGGAACCTCACGCCAACGGCCTCATCCCATGGACCCAGCCTGTCCCTCGTGCCTCTCTCAGCTGTCTCTTTCCCTTTTCCCTCCACAGAACCGCCAGACTTTCAACAGCCTCACCTGCCTTAGCGCCGGGGCCGAGGAGGCCTCCCAGCGGCTTCCCGGCCCCCAGCCATGGACCACAGCCCCCCACTCCCCGGAGGTGATGCCGGGCAGGACCCCTGCCTGCACCCCGGTACCGGAGCCACCTCGTTCCCGGCCCCAGGAACGCCAGGCCAGCAGGGACGACCTCTCCTGCGAGGAGGAGGAGGAAGGCGGCGGGAAGGAGGAAGACGGGAGGGCCTGGCGGAGCGGCGGGGCGGGCGCTGAGGGCCTCTTCCAGCTGGACGGCGAGATCGACATCGAGCAGATAGAAAACAACTGAGGAGGGAAGAGGGTCCTCTCGCCATCCCCACAGGGGGTGGGTGGGGGAGATGCCAGCAGAGCCATGGAGGGCTCCCCACCACCAGGTTTGGGGGGGTCCCACCACCGGTCCCCTCCTGCCAGCTTGTGGGGGGGAGGCAGGGGGAAGGAGGGACGAAGCAGCTTTGCCAAAATTTCATCAGGTATTTTAGAGCAATTGGTGTGCGCGCGTGTGTAAATCTTGAATTTCTTCCTAACTACTGTAGCCTGAGATGGCCCAGGCGGAGGGAACCGCCTGCCCCACAAGGGGGGGGGCCAGGCGCAGGGGTGGCCCCCCCAAAAAAGCCCTTGCGTTTAGTGAGGAAATGGCTTTTTGCAAAGGTAGAGCTGCGTGTGGCTGATGGGGCCGGTCACGCTCCCTCCGCGTCCCACCCGCATTCGGCTGGAAGGGGATGCACAAGGAGAAACCACCAGCCGTGGGGACTGGGAAAAAATGGGGGGAAAACCCGAATATTGGGATTTGCAAACCAAGGGGCGACTGCGGCTTCTCTGCTCCTTCCACATCCCACGTGGCCCCCGCGTCCCCCTGGCTGCCCACCTCCCTGGCAGCGCCGCGAGAAGGAGATCACGAGTGAAGCGTTTTGCTTAAATTTAATAACGGTAAGAGCTGGATTTTTACTTTCTTTTGGTTTTTGTTGGTTTTTTTTTCCAATTTTTTGCTTTTCCTGATGAGGAATTAAAGGGACCCCCAGCCCAGCGCAGGGCAGCATCCCCAGCAGTGCTTGGTGGGCGCTGCCCGAGGATGCTCAAATGCCTTTCTTCCCTACTTTTATTTTCCTTCCCAGTCCCTCCCTCAAACCCATGGGGAAGAAGCCCTGATCAGGCTCGGTGCCACCCTCGCTCGGGTTCCCAACACCCTGTTTTGAGTGGGGTCAGGCCTTTTACCCGTTTACCAGCCGCTGTGCCCTCTTCGCTACCTGAGGCACGGCTGCCACCCTCCTTTTTGTCGCTCTGTCCTACTGTGAAGGGGCTGCACGCCGCGGGGTTACTTGACAAAAATCAGCTGGCGAAAGGCTGAAAATCCAGGTAGCAGCACTGAAAAACTTTTCCTGTGCCTTTTTTTTTTTAAGCACGGAGAAAGTGGTGACCATGACGTTTGTACAATAGGAACTCTCTTCGGTAAAAATAAGCTGTCCGCTTCCTAACAGGTTTAGAAGGACGCATATATTCTTTTTTTTTTTTTTCTCCCTCTTATTTTTTTTTGTTTGTTTGTTTAAAGCTCTAGGAAAGCTGTACGAGTGGCTTCCAGCATCTTCTGCAGGTCTCCTCAAGCTCGGGGTTTACTTCCCCAGCTCTGCAAAAGCGAGAAAGGGAAGAAAGTCGTTGAAGCCCCAACAGCAATTGAGGAACGTGACATTTTTAATAGGGTTTGGCCCCACCGTTGAGTCCGTAACTCGGCAAGGGCTGAGAGCTGCTGGTACAGGTTTCGTTCATCATTTCTGGTTATGTTTAGTGCACTTTTTTCTGCGGTGGTTCGGGATGCGTGTGGCATCTCCCATCACGGTGGAACCCATCAGCTGTTATATAGCTTTATCCCTGTCCTGGCATCGCAGGGGTTTTGCTGGTGGCAGTGGCCACCTCCAGGCCGGGTGCTGGCAGGTAGGGCCAGCCCCAAATATTTGGGGAAGGGGACAACCAGGGATGTCTTTTCATTTTGGAGAACCTTCTGGCTCTTTTAAAGTGTCGCTTCCTGCGTCGTTGAAAAGAAAATACACCCTGGCTTCATTTTTAGCCCTCCTGAAGTGGAAGGCGCTGCCCATCTCGGCCCTTTCAGGAGGGTCCAGTGTCACCAGTGTTGTCCCAGCCAGGGCTGTGGCCACCCCTCGGGTCCGTGTCCCTGCAATCACAGCATGGTTCTCGGCTTTGAGTCTTCCTGATGCTCAATACCCCCCACCCCACCACCACCTCCCCGGTCTCGGGGCACAGAGCTCCCGCTGGCCACAGGCACCTCCTCAGCTGCTGGCTCCCAAGTGACCGAAAAAGGGCAAATTCACCCAAATCCATCTCCGGCTGGTGCCACAGAGCTCCAGGTGGGCTCTCCTATGGGCATCACCGGGGCTGTAACTCCTAAGGGCTTCTCTTTTCTTTCCAAGGGCTGCTAGTGGTGCCACGCTCACCCCCCCAGTGCCGGTAGGAAGGTGACCAGTGGACCACTTGCCCAGATGTACTGGCCGTAGCCGTAGCATTCCGTTTACATACAGCACAACCCGTTTGCCTTATTAAATACGCTTCTCCAATGAGTCATGGCCTTATACTGGGCGCGTAGCGTAGGCACAGACTACAGTTAGCGATGGTTTGGAGGCCACGGTGGTGTCCTGTTGGGTATTTGGTTGTTGGGTTTGTATGATTTCATGTACTTATTCTCAGTTTAAGAAAGCCTTACTTTTCAAATTTTTTTTTTCCTCTCTCTCTCTTTGTAGAGGTAAAACATTTGTGGATTTATATATATATAAATATATATATAAATAAAATAATTAAAAAATATTAAATATAATATAGTATGTGCCTCAGATTCAGGGGACATCCCGTTGATTGTAAAGTCAGAAGGTGGTGTTGGTCCCTGTTACCCTGTGCCCGCAGCGGGAGAACAGGGCATCCCCCCTCGCCCCGGGGGTCCTGCTCTTGGTTTGTAAAGGACTTCACTGATGACACAGATGCTTTGGAACCCCCCTCCCTCGCCTGGCAAATTCCTGCTGGCTGCCAGAATGTGATAGTAAAGTAATATGCAGACAGGGGATGTTTTTCCTTGCGAGGCGCCTAAAACGGGCTCGTTATTGGGTCCAGGGCATGACCCAGTGGCTGTTTCGGGATGACAAGGAGCTGTGATAGGAGCAAAAAGAGTTCATCATCCTGAAAAAAAAAAAAAAGGATTTTAATAGGGAAAGAATAAGTCTTTGGAAAAGTCTTGGCACGTGCACAGGGATGTTTGCTGTGTATTTGCAAGTGCAGCTCTTTGAGCCTGTTCTCTGAGATTACATGAAAAAAAAAAAAAAAAGACAAAAGGAAGTATTTGTAAAATAGATTGTAATTTTTCCACGTTATAGCAGAGCCTGTTGGGCCCCTAAAGTTGTGTTTCAAGTGCGTTGTTTAAAAGCTCCTGGCTGACCAGACGGACGTAGGAGGTTAGAGGATCGTAGCCGGTTCATGGGTTTGATGTGCAAGAAAGTGACCGAAGAGGATGGCCAACAAAAACCCCATCAAAATAAAAAAAACCCAACAAAAAAAGGAAGAAAAAAAGAAAAAGAAGCCTTCTGAAGCGATGACCTGTAGTAGCCACGTCTCGCTGGCGATTGCACAATGTCAGCGGGACGCGCGTGTCCCTGGGGAGGGGCTGCCCGAGGTGCCCCCCCACCAGTGCAGGCTGCCCCCTCCCACCCCCCCCATGACTTGATTGCACTAGAGCAGCTCAGTCTCAGGAAATTGCTTGTTACTTTTACTGTGTAAATAAAGCTTCCTGGTTCAATAACACACACACATCCCCCCCGACACCGGGGTCGGTGTCTCGCCTCTCTCTGCTGTCCCCGTGGCCGGGGTGGGGGGTGCTGGGGACACCCTTGGGGGGTGTAAGGGCTGGGTTGTGGCAGAGGGTTGGGGTTTGGTGGGGCAGAGCTGGTGCGGGTGGAGGAGCCCCATGGGCTTCTTCTCTCCTTGGCATCTCCATGGGTGCTGGGCAGGGGGGGAAATGGGTCCCAAAAAATGGGTGTGGGTTGGAAAGCCCCCGTCTGGGACCCTCCATTGGAGTGTCCATGTTCAAAATAATGAGGATGTCTCAGCCTTGGGACAAAAAAATGGACATGGGGTGGAACTGGATCATCTTTAAGGCCCCTTCCAACCCAAACCGTTCTGCTGGGTGATTTAAGTGCCTTCTGCTTTGTGTTTAAGGACAGATATAGTGTCCCACCCCTTAAAAAAAAATCTAAACCTGAGCAAGGCAAGAGACCAGAGCACGGGAAGGGCACAGGGGGGTGTTAAATAAATTCTTGGGGAAAAATGGGGCTGGATCTCCCTACGGTCTTTGTAAACCAGAAAGGAAAGCGGCTGCGTTTCCTCGAGTGAGCAAACAGTTTAAAAAGTTTCATGACAGATGGCAGGATGTTTATCTGCCTAAACTTAATCAGATTGCAGCGATAGGCTTAGCACACCAGAACAAAAAGGAAGAATTATAGGATAAAAAAGAAATTCTCGGTGATCCTTCACAGCCCCAAGGTTCCACCAGGGTCCGCGGCATCCTTCGCGTGCGCCCGGGTGCACGCACTGCCGTACACTTTGGCTGAACCGCTACCCAGAGGATAAAAAGATACAAAAACAGACCCAAAAAATCGCACTAAGGTCACTTTCCCAGATGTGGTTTATTTTATTATAATTTAATTCCTAGCCCGCTTTCCCCCCGCTGTCCCCAAGGAGCGCCGTGCAGCACAGAGGCCGGTTGAAAACAAGGTTTTCCAGCGCTCGCCGGCTGCTCCAGGAACACGGAGCATCCCTTCGGTGTCCTTCGGTGACCGGGGTCATCCTCAGCTGTTGGGACTGCTGGAAACATCCCTGGAATTATCAGTCACCTCCTGCTTGCAAATGCAAAAAGCAGTAGCTGAACACAGACAGTGGCCAGAACACGCTGCCTCATCATATGTATATATAAATATATATAAAACACACATGTAGTTGCGTACCTTTCCGCGGTCCCATGGCAGGTTTGAAGCAGGTTGAGGCCCAAATAGTTTTATTCCCCTCCAGTCTAAAGCACAAAGTCTTGCCCCAAAACCCAAGGGGGCGCAGAGCTGCTGACATGCTGGTTGAAAGGGGACTTTTGCCTATAAAAGGGTGACCTTTGCAAAGGTGACCCTTGGAAACGCTGGCAAGCGTCAGTGGCAGCTCGTTTTAGCAATGCTCAGCCCCATTTAAAACAAAAAAAAAGGACAAATCTCAGGCCTGATGGCTCAAATGGAACTTCACTTTCCAGCCCTGCACAGGCTGAGCCCCCCCTTGGCAGCAGGATGGGGCTGAGCTGGGGCCAGACTGATGTGGTGGGTGCTTGGTGGGTGCAGGATCAGACCCATGGGATGTTCAGCGTGCAAACTGGGTTTGTCCCATCCAGGCAGCCAGAGCCATGAGGGAGTGGTGTACCAGGTCTGGGTACCCAGCAGAACTGGAGGACAGTCGTGGCAACAGGACTGATGGAGCTGGTGCCTTACACGGAGTGTTTCCCAGTTGGGACTGGAAAACTGAAGCCAGGAGCAGCAGAATGGGCTGGAGCCAAGCTCCCCACGCTGGTCTTCATGGCAGGGTCAAGCATCCCTGCCGTGCCAATCATAGAATGGTTAGAGTTGGAACAGACCTTAAAGACCCTCAAGTTCCACCCCCTGCCCTGGGCAGGGACACCTCCCACCAGACCAGGTTGCTCCAATCCCTCTCCAGCGAGGCCTTGAACCCCTCCAGGGATGGGGCAGCCACAGCTTCTCTGGGCAACCTGTTCCAGTGTCTCACCACCCTCACAGCAAAGAAGTTCTTTCTGGTATCTCATCTAAATCTCCCCTCTTCCAATTTAAAACTGTTACCACTTGTCCTGTCCCTACACTCCGTGACAAAGAGTCCCTCCTCATTTCTCCTGGAGCCCCTTTAGGGGCTGGAAGGGGCTCTAAGGTCTCCCTGGAGCCTTCTTTTCTCCAGGCTGAACCCCCCCAACTCTCTCAGCCTGTCCTCACAGCAGAGGGGCTCCATTCCTCAGAGGATCTTCGTGGCCTCCTCTGGCCCCGCTCCAACAGGTCCATGTCCTTTCTATGCTGAGGACTCCAGAGCTGGACACAGCACAATCCCAGCTGGAACACCCGCTGCTGGGTGAGCTGGAGCTGCGTGGGACACGGCTGGAATTTTCATAGGAATAGGCAGGAAACCTGCGTGTCCCCCCCCGGCCACATCAGCCTGTGAGACCCCCATGGAGGGGAGGAAAAGCCCATCAGTCCCATGGCCAGCTTATTCCTGGCAAGGAAAAACATTTCGGATCCTCTGAACATCCCCACCAGTGCTGATCCCACTGAACACACAGACAAAGGGGCTGGATCTACCAGATGGGGTTTATTCCCAACATGATGCCATGGTTATTCCCTAATGTGCCACGGAATTACTGGATTAGCAGTTTGCCAAGGGCACAGGGGTTTCTCCCCCTCCCCAGGGTTTTCCTGCCACCCATGGCCACAGGCACACAGGGGACCCTGCAGAGCAGGCTCCCGGGGCTTGGTGGCCTCCATCACCCCTCAAGGACATCTCCCACCCCATCTCAGCCACCCCAAAAGGCACAGAAAGGGCGAGTTAAAGAGCAAAGCCAGTCCATGAAGGGGTGCCGGGTGCCCCGTTTCCCACCCAGGGCTGGGTCCCTGGGGTGAGCAAAGAGTTAAAGGGGGTACAGACACCCCCCAGCATCACCTGGGGGGAGGCAGAGGCCCCTCAGCACCCTCCTCGGGCAGACAGTCCAGGGAAGAACATGGCCATCCTGGGAGAGCTGGTTTCAGCTGTGCTGGCAGGGCCACGGCACCGAGGGGACGACGTTCAAGACGTGCTGGAGGACAGAAGGTTCGCTCTTCCCTTTGACGAGGTCAGTAGATCGTTTTAGTACCGTTAAGTGAAATATTTAGGCTTGTGGATGCTCACCACCCCAGGCAAGGCTGGGTCTGGGTCCCTTAGTGTCAGATGGAGGTGGGTGAGGATGGAGGGGCTGCACGGGAGGCCTCCTCTTCCTCCTTCCTCCCCGTAGCCCACGGCTCCATCATTCTTACAGCTGCTGGAGGATGATGTCAACCGCTTCGGCGAGGTTGTTCACGTAGGCATCAGGCTTCACGTGGGGGTGGTTTTCATCGCAAGGCCTGCAAAGGGGCAAAGCTAGGTCTGGGTCCCTTAGCGTCAGATGGAGGTGGGTGAGGATGGAGGGGCTGCACAGGAGGCCTCCTCTTCCTCCTTCCTCCCCATGGCCCATGGCTCCATCGGTCTTACAGCTGCTGAAGGAGGATGTCAACCGCTTCAGCAAGGTTGTTCACGTAGGCATCAGGCTTCACGTGGGGGTGGTTTTCATCGCAAGGCCTGCAAAGGAGACAAGAGGGCACAGCTAAGCAAGGACAGGCTTCCAGCCACCCAACCAACCCATGTCCCCATCTGTCCTCATAGAGCCCAGGACAGCACCAAGATGGCCCCAGATGGAGCACCCTTGGGTGAGCCTGGGTCTCACATTCCTCCCGTTTCTGGTTTCCCTCCCCTTTTCCTTCTCCTCTCCCTACCTCCTCCATACCCAGTTCTTTCCTGGGTGCTACAGTAGATCCCATCTCCTCCTGCAACTGGGCTGGGCAAAACTTTGCAAAGCCTCATATGAAGACAATCTACCTCATTAACTAACCCAAATTAATGCACTGCATTTCACATGGCACTTCTTCATGCAGGCAGTAGCTGTAGCAGACAGGGATCACTGGGACAACACTTCACTGCAAGCCTAGGATCCCACAGAACTGTGCAAATAATTGTTCTCCCCTGTTTTTTCTCTAGAAATAGGTAAAGAAGAAGACACTTCCAACCCTGTCCTCATAGAGCCCAGGACAGCACCAAGATGGCCCCAGATGGAGCACCCTTGGGTGAGCCTGGGTCTCACATTCCTCCCGTTTCTGGTTTCCCTCCCCTTTTCCTTCTCCTCTCCCTACCTCCTCCATACCCAGTTCTTTCCTGGGTGCTACAGTAGATCCCATCTCCTCCTGCAACTGGGCTGGGCAAAACTTTGCAAAGCCTCATATGAAGACAATCTACCTCATTAACTAACCCAAATTAATGCACTGCATTTCACATGGCACTTCTTCATGCAGGCAGTAGCTGTAGCAGACAGGGATCACTGGGACAACACTTCACTGCAAGCTAACCCAAATTAATGCACTGCATTTCACATGGCACTTCTTCATGCAGGCAGTAGCTGTAGCAGAGAGGGATCACTGGGAGAACACTTCACTGCAAGCCTAGGATCCCACAGAACTGTGCAAATAATAGTTCTCCCCTGTTTTTTCTCTATAAACAGGTAAAGAAGACGACACTTCCAACATAGAGACACTGAAAGCTTCTACAGTGAATGAGAAAGCTCTGTGAGGGTTTAATTTTGCAGGAACACCACCTTCTTGTAAATCTAACCATGGTTCTTTCAGACACTACCATGAAAAGGGTCAGACTCACCCACCACCATGAGCCATCACCCCAAAGCAGGGCGGCTCAGAGCCATTTTTTTGCCCATGGTTTAATTAGAGGTACTGGCCTAACGAGGCGCAGATGCACAATCCCATTTTACTGATTCAGCAGCATGGCTGGGGCGGGGGGGGGGCACAGATGTGGGAGACAGAAATTTTCCAAACCTCCTGGTCCTGTTATGGCTCTTGGGCTGAGAAACCCAACAGCTGCTGAGGAGAAAACATACGGATTTTATACACTTAATGGTTTTCCTTTGGGAAAGAGATGAAAGCCCTAATGTCCATCTCCCAACTCTCTCGCTGCCTGTAAAGGGCAAACCTGTATTTTTCTCAGCAGGGAAGAAGCATTTCCCATCGGATGCACAGGAGGCAGAGAGATTATTATTATTATTTACTATTACTATTATTATTATTTATGATGTGCAGAATTTGGTCAGCACTTGTCTGTACAATTACCAAATGATTCCTTCAGTTCCAGCACTGAAGCCCCCCAAGAGCTATTTCCTTCCTGTGTATTTTTCAGCTGTGCTCTTCAGGTTGGAGCACAGGAGCTCCTTGCAAAGGCACAGTCTCCTTCAGGAGCCCACACTGCTCGAGATTTTACCTGCTGCAAAGTTACAGTGTGCAACCAGGAAAAATAAAAAACACTGCTCTTCAGCTTTCCTGGTGTCACCTGCGAAGCCACACCTGGCACAAGGACAATGGCTCCATGAAATGGACTCGATGGTGGTGCTGGCTGTCAGGAAAGCATCTTATTTAAAAGGTGGGAGGTTATTCCATGGTTATTCTTTATTTAATTATCCAAGTTCTATCTCGTTACAGGGCTACAGTGCAATAAGAACAGTGATTTATGATGCTTTTTAGGTTTTCCTTAACTGAAGAAGAATTTAGACACCTGAAACTAATGCAAATTGTAATATACAATAGAGAAAAAACCTTCAAATAAATAAATAGAGTGAGTAAAAATCCAGTATGTATCCATCCCTTAGGTGGCGATTATTACTCACCCCCTGATTTAACCAAGAGGCTTTTATGAATACAGAAATACTTTTGGGGAGCATGGCAAACCACTCATTTCTTGTCAATAATCCTTAATTTGAGGGGAGATCTAAAAAAAAAGTAATAAAATCGTCTTTCCACTTTACATCCAGTTTTAAGAACAGCTTGAAACGAATGCTTCTACGAGAAATTTTCAATTACACAGCACTCTTTGATCTATTAAGAGGATTTTGTGATTGGTATCTGCACTGACTAGACAGAAATCCACCTGTAACTCAGCTGCTCAATGCCAGTCATCAAGGAAATGTCCATGGTTCTTAAAATATCCTAAAAATATCCTAAAAATATCTTTAATTTGCTGGGACAGTTTGAAGAATAAACTTGCATCGAGCTCACTTTAAGACAAACTCCTTCCGATCCTTTTCTTTTTTTACATGGGACTCTGGTTGCAGAGAAGAACATAAATCAACATGACAGAAAATTATATTCTGCAGCTGAATATTGAGCTGTCAGCAGTTTTGGCCAGCACACAAACTCGCTTGTGAAAAATCAACTACAGCCTTGGGAAACACTCTCTTCAGCAAAGCAGGACTCCTTGGAGCGGCTGAGCACCACCAGAACATTTTCCAGCCCAAACTGGCCATGACAGCCTCCTGCTCCCTCTGGGAAATGTGGCACTTCGTGTCTGCATTGCCTCTTGGTGGCCACCTTGGTGGCATACGAAGAGGTCAGGGAAAGAAGTGGCTTAGCACAGGGAACCTCTGAAATCCGGGGTGGTCCTTCTTGGTCTCTACTGCGTTGTGAGGGCTCAGGGACACATGATCTGTGCTTCTGTGCACAGGGCAATGGTAGCAGAGTATGTTCTTCAAAAGAAAAAGCCATCCAAAACAACCTGTACGTTACAACACATTAAAGATATGAAGTTTCTTTAGCATGATGCAATGCCGACAGAGGCTCGGTAGTTACTCATGTCCATCAAATCATCCTCAGGAGATGACTAAACATCCTCCTCTCCCCGGGACCATTTGTCACTGTCAGTGCTGCAGCAGCTGAGCAGCTATCTATAGCCCTGTGTGCTCCCAGCCAGATCCTTGCCCATACTAAACTGGTTAGTTCAGATCAATGCTCCACGCTGAGACATCAAGGAAGCAGCAGGGAGCTGCAGGAAACCAGCTCTGCAGTTTTAACTCTTTGCTCGGTCACTTGGCAAGAGGAGCTCCAGCGTGGTACCAGGGCCACCGACTAGCAGAGAGTGATGGCTTCCTCCTGGTTAAGCATAAAGTCAAATCCCAGCTCATAAGGAACAGTGAAAAAACAACTTCTGCAAGAATAAGAAGGTTCACTTAGTGCCTGGGTCAGATTTCCACTTGGATAGGTCTGTTCTGACAAGCACAAGCTGTGGCTGCCCCATCCCTGGAGGGGTTTAAGGCCAGGTTGGAGGGGGCTTTGAGCAACCTGTTGTGGTGGGAGGTGTCCCTGCCCAGAGCAGGAGGATGGAGGTGTCCCTGCCCAGGGCAGGAGGATCTAGATGACCTTCAAGGTCCCTTCCAACTCTACCCATTCTATGATTCTATGGAATAGATGCAGAAGAGAGCATTGCCAGGGACAATGTAAAAGGATGTCCCTAAAAACATAGACTTTGAGCTAACCCTTTTCTTTCCCAAACCAGTTGGGATTCCGGGTTTAGTCTGTGGGTCGAGGTGGGCAGGGGATGCTCCTCCAGCTCCACGCTCCGACCACTGCTCTCACAGGGGACCTGTCAGGTTTAGTCTGTGGGTCGGGGTGGGCAGGGGATGCTCCTCACAGCCAGCTCCGACCAGCGCTCTCATAGGGGACCTGCTCTGCAAAGGGAACTGGAGCTGCAGAAGGAAAACACATGGTTGGATGCCAGGGGTGTCCTGTTGAACTGGGAGCCAAACACCCCACCGGGAACAAAGAGGGGGTGTCTGAGCCCCAAACCCTCACGTCACACTGTCCCAGGAAACTCCACGTACCGGTTGGAATGACTTTCTCAGCGCCTTGCCTGCGCTCATTTCCAACAAAACATATGGAGAACAAAAAGGAAACAGCTGGATTACTGCACGGACTAAATATTTAGCAGATAAAAGCCTGCGTGGAGGTAGCCGACACAGAGTCATGGCCACGGGGATGGAAACAGCTCCAGAATCCAGCTCAATCCGGGACCTGTCGAAACTTGACTTCAGAGAACAGGAGCAGATGGGGATTGATCAACGCATGATTAGTATCCCAGGTTAAAATTAGCTTGTGCATAGTTCTTTAAAAATAGGGGTGGGGAGGAAAAACACCACGCGGGGCCAAAGCAAGGCACCGGAGTTAATTGGAAAAAGACAAATGATCTCACATTCCAGCCTGCAGAGCCCCAGTCATTTGGCAAACCTGGTCGGTAACGCAGCGTGTCCCACCATCCCTGACCTTTCCAGCAGCACAGCGTCCCAGGAGACAGTAAACCTCATCCCACCAACTCCCTCTCTGTTTGTACAAGGGACCTCTCTGTGCCACCACACAGGCTGCCCGCTAACCCCCCCAAGTCAAACAGCATATACCTCTAGCTGCATCAAACCAGATAAAAAAAACCTTGAAACCATTTCTCCTGAGAGCATATTCTTCAGGGGCTCTTACCATGGCTGTAA